TTCCCCAGAGTTACTGGAGAATTTACAAACTTGATAACAGAGGCTCCTAGAAACGCCCGGCGAAAAGCAAGCGTTTTGTGACACCATGAGCATAACTTCTGTGCATTTCTTCCACCCAGCATTTCTTCTGTGGGACCTCGAATGGCCCTGGAAGTCAGAGGCCACATCACCACTCAGCTCTAGTGTTAGCTGCAGAGCACCCAGCAGGGTGAGTTCTGTGTTTAAATGAAGCTCTAGGTCTTGTTAAATATTTTTTTCCCTCCTGGGCGAGTACGCCTGACTTAAGCAGTGCATAAATTTTAATGTTACGTTTGAAAGAGTTTCAATAGCAAATAGAGTAATATATGGTGGATTCTATAAGTTGGTATCTCTCCTTGGTTAAGGAAGTAGTGGGTTGAGCTTACGTTGACCTTCTGTACCTGGTCCCCAAACCCACGCGTGCGCCCACATGCGGGCTGTGCGGTCTTATGTCAGGAGATACTAGAAACAGTACATGTTTGTACCATCCCCGAAGATGTCCAGATTGTGCCTGTGTTTGTTTAATAGGATGCATGAGGAAGGAAAAGCATTTAAAATACTCAGAGTCTCAAGCTCGCGGGCGTCGTGGGGGGCGGGGGGCCTTCATTGCGCTGAGAGTGGAACGGTTCCCCAGCACCACCTGCTGCTTGTGTGGTCACCGAACCTCATCCCTGGGGGGTAATGAAGGTCTTTCTTTACTTAAAAACCCTGTAGATTACGACAGTATACATGGCAAAGACAAGAGTGACCTGGACTTAGGTTGTTTATTTGCCACATAAAAATAACGCAGTCTGATGGAGAGGCAGGTCAGGTCGGGATATCGGAACCGGGCGCTGCAATGAACACAGCATCAGCAGGCAGTGTTACAGCGGCGCAGGAATCCGCTCGCTTGAACGCACCGCTGTGAGGGGCTCCCCGGCTTTGGGACAAATGAACAGTGTGTAATTATCTGAAATATGTTTTCAGATTAACTGAAATACCTCACAAAATTAAGGGATTAGCAGTTTTATTTTTTCATTATCACAGATTCCAAACGTGACAAAGTCATTGGTGCTCTTTATTTCTCTCTCTTCCCTCATAATTTTGAGGGAAAGTATCTTCTAGGATAATTTTATTGTATACTATTAATAAGGATTCTGCCAAGATTAGTCTTTTGTTCAAAGAAGAGAACATATTGAAATCCCGCGGCAGCCGCGCAGGCAGAGAGGAGGGTAGTGAGGACCAGCGTTACTTTCATGGCTGTCACTGCCTCCCGAGGAGAGGTCAGCACCCTGGGGACGCCCGTTCGTCAGGTCACAGAACCAGCCACACTAACGTGTCAGGTTTCGGATCACACTGAAAACTCCTCAGTCATAGAAACTTATATTGAAAACCACAAGCCATTCGAGATTAAAATACAAAAAGACCCTTTGACTCTGACGGTGTTAACTTTGTTGCTTACACTCAGAGCGGCCTAGTTCACTCGAGCTGGTCCAGGCCGCCCGTGAGGTTGATGATGCTCCTTAAGGCTCCCACAGCCTCGATGACACCTGGCGCTCAACCCATGACCGTGTCCCTGGGTGTTTAGAGGTGATGAGAGGTAGGTTTGAAGACAAGGAGAGTAGCTTGGATCTTGAAAAAGTAAGTTTAAAAGTAGCCAGCTTTGTCTTTTTATGCTACTCAGAGCAGTTAAGCAATTATGTGTAGTTAATACATGAAAATATAATCATCGCTTCCAAATTTTCCCATTTCACTGCACTTTTTCCCTAGCCTTTCTGTTCCTGCGAAGTAACGTTTCTGATGGCCGTGCTCCGGATGGCCCTAAGGGGCCCGATTTAGATTGCTCTGATTTCATTACAAGCCTGTCACATGCTTGGTCTCTTCGGCTAACCGTGGTCACACAGACGCTTTCACTTGGTCTACGTGAAACGCTTTCCCTGCATTCCTTAGGCTCCTTTTCTACAAGGTGTTTCCACCTAGAGCTGTACTCTATCCCTTATGGAGAATCCGAGACGTGTGCATTCAGGGAGCTGACAGATTGGGGCTTTACCCATCACAGAAACCTCATATTCACCAAACGTTTTCATTTGACACACACCACTGTCTGCCCTGGCTCTCTTCCCAGCCACACAGATTTAACTGAGCGCCTGCTGTATGCTAGACTCTGTCCTAGGTGCTGGGCTACAGCAGGGGCCAAAGGAATGGCCTCTCGAATGCCTAGGGTGGTGGCGAAGATGCCCCTGGCAGGTGGTAAGGGCCTGGCTGGCTCTACAGACGCTGGTCCTTTATACAGAGACAGCGGAGGGAAGGGAAGGCGACTGAGAGTTAGGGAGAGAGCGAGGCCAGCTTCTCAACTGCTGCTGAGGTTAAGCCGCCGGAGCCCCCTACCGGCTGCCTGTGAACCTTCCCCTGGGCCTCCCGGCTCCTCCTGTGCTGCTCCTTCTGTCCTTGTTCTCACCGTCTGTCCTCCAAACACTGGGCAGGCGGGGCCTTTCCTCAGTCATCCGTCTGCCATGCTCTCGCTGGTGACTTCCCTTAGGCCCACGAATTGAAAGTCGTCTGGGTGCTTATGGTGCCCACACTCGCAGCTCCACTGCCTCTCGTCTGCACTGCAGGTTTTCTTCCAGTCACCCAGCCCGCATCCCCAGGAGATGACAGGCCCTGCCCCCAGCCTGGTGCCCAGAGGACACGCCCGCCCCTCCTCTCAGCTCGCTCCTCTCTNCCCTGCCCCCAGCCAGGTGCCCAGAGGACACGCCCGCCCCTCCTCTCAGCTTGCTCCTCTCTTCTCACCACATCTTTAAGTCCTGTCCCACTCACCTGCTCACACAGCTGCTCCCCGACAGTCTCGGAGTCACTCCTGCCTCCTGTCCCTCTCACCTCCCATTTAACCCATAAGGAAAACTTAAAGATAGGTTCCTAATGTCTTCACAAATGCTGATCCAAACTCACCGCCCCCACCCCTCACTCCACCGCAGTGGCCCCCTCAGCAACTTCCACTCGGCCCTTCCAGAGTTTGCACGTTGGGATTTTTAGAATATGAATCAGATTCCAGTCTATTCAAAACCTAGGTATGTCTTTCTGTTGCACCCAAAAAAGTACCCAGAGCTCTTGCTCCAGTTGCCGGCGCTAGGACCTGGCCTCCCCTCCTCCCACCAATCTCTCCTTCCCCTGATGCGCAGCATCAGCCACCTTCACGTCCCTGCCTGGAGCACCAGGCTCACTTTCTGCCTTGGAGCCTTTCCCTCTGCCTGGCTGTCCACACGGTTTGTTCCTTCATGTCTGCTCATTTGCTACTTTCTTGGGGACCACTTACCCTGTTACCCTGTCCAGTTGCTGTAATCCCTACATCCTGCCGTGATTTTTACTGTGGCCTGATACTGTGTTACGTAATGGTTTTTTATTAGTTGTTATGCGTATCCCCTGTTAAAATGCAAGTACCTTGAGAACTCTGTTTTGCTTANTTGTTATGCGTATCCCCTGTTAAAATGCAAGTACCTTGAGAATTCTGTTTTGCTTATTACTGGAAGTTTGGGAGTGTCTGGTATTTAACCTGTATTTATTGAGTGAGTGGATAATTAAATGATAATATTTTCAGGGACTACAGTCCAAGCCCTGAGATTGCCACCAGCCAATAGACAGGGACATAACAGATTCTGCCCTTCTGCCCTTGTCTTCATTACCCCCAGAAATCCTGAGATACAAGCTTAAGGCAAACGGAACTGTCCTGGAAAACCCAGGGCCTGAGCAATGAGCGCCTCATTCCTTCTCTCATCTGTCTCTGTCGCTAACTGGCTTGCTGGCATTCTAAAGCTGTTGTTAATTCCCATGTGTACTTAATCCATTCAAAAGAATGCATCATACTCAGATGTCATAAAAACTTAACCTCAGGACCCAGGAAATGGCGATATGTTGCACAGTGAACACTCAGTGTGTACATTGTATATAGAATACGGAATGAATAAGCACAGTCTCAGACTGTGTGTGAGCATGTTACACAGTGAACACGCAGTGTGTACATTGTGAATAGAATACGGAATGAAGAAGCACAGTCTCAGACTGTGTGAGCATGTTACACAGTGAACACGCAGTGTGTACATTGTGAATAGAATACGGAATGAAGAAGCACAGTCTCAGACTGTGTGAGCATGTTACACAGTGAACACGCAGTGTGTACATTGTGAATAGAATACGGAATGAAGAAGCACAGTCTCAGACTGTGTGAGCATGTTACACAGTGAACACGCAGTGTGTACATTGTGAATAGAATACGGAATGAAGAAGCACAGTCTCAGACTGTGTGTGAGCAGTGAAATCACTTTGTAACTTTGGACATGCTTTTCTGATCTGCATCATAAAGTAATACACATGTAGTAATTGTATGATTCACATTTCTGCCAATCAAAATGAGTGAATTTCATCTTTCAAGAAGAGTCAGCCTTTTTCAGGTATCTCATGAGAGTAGAATTTAATTTTTTCAGCTTCTGGTGCTTTTTTACATGAGAGCTTGGTGCTGCTTTTCCACCAAAACCAACAACATTCAGGCAAATGAGTTCCTCTGAACGCAGCTGACTGCAGTGGAAGGCAGAGGTGGGGCAATAATAGTGGTTACATTGATTAGACTTTCAGCCGCCTCATTTCAGGAAGGCTGTGAGCTGGGCTGACCTGAGGTCTTCGTGCAGTGGGAGGTCAAAGTGAGACGAGCTGGTGGGGGTGCGTGGGGCTGTGTGGGGGCGCGTGGAGGGTCGGTGGCCCCTCAGCCTGCTGCAGCGCTGCGAACGCTTCCAAGCGGTCAGCTCCTCCCTGGACCACTCCACGCTTCTCAACCTACATCTGCTTAACCACAGCAGAAGCTGCATGATGTTAAACTCCATTATCAGAGATGCTTTAATTGAGTTATTATATTGAGTTGTGCTGTGGGCTGATTATTGAAACACAAGCGTTAGTAGGAAAGAAGAACACTGACAAATCCTCGGAGCATTTCACGCAGCCTTTTCTTCCTGTAGGAAACGATGCAGCGTCCATTGTCAACTGTCTTCACATCCTGGGGCAGACTCTGGATGCAAGGTACATGGACATGCGTTTTTCAAGCTCATACAACGGCATTTTGTTATTTTATGATCAACATAAATTGTTAAATCTGAGGTGCGTCCTGCAGCAGTGCAGCATGTGGCTAGGGCCGTCCTGGGAGGTGACAGTGGCACCTGCAGCCCTGGAGGTCATGCAGGGGTTGAGGCGCGGTGCTGGGCTTGGGGCTGTGAAAACACTTAGCTTTACAGGGACATGAGGGTGTCATTCTCAGATTACAGCTGAGCAGAGTGGAACTAAGACGGCACAGGGGGTGTGGTCGGCCAGCTCCCCGTCTGTGCCTTCCTCCTCTGCCCTCCACCAGCGCGGCCAGGGGCCCAGCATGTGGCGAAGGCCGTCAGCCCACTTAGCATGACTGACAGCCTTGCAGCCACATTAGATTCATTTATTACCCAGGGTAAATCTAAATGAAACTCTCTGAGCATCTCTTAGAGACAGTCTTCCACGATTCCTTGGATTATCTGTGCTTGTGTTTGAAACTTTATTTGGGGTGTTTTGTATAATGAACGAAGAAAGAGATGCCATTGGGCACCTTCGTTCTTACTAGAAATAGCGGCCAGGAGGGTCCCTCCGCTCAGCGCCCAGCCTGTGGAGGCTCCTTAGGAGCCGCTGACTCTCCCCCGCAGCACAGAGCATCTCTCATTCGGGGATGGGTTTAGTGGCCACTGGATGCTTCTTTCACAGCCGTTGCCTCAGGAACACTCTGGTTCTGTTGGATTTGGGGTTCACTGAAGCGGCTCAGAAGCTGTGTTTGGTCCGTTGTAAAATAACTGTTCTCAGAGGCTGAGGCCGCTGGTGGACACACGGCCCCAGCCGGCCCTGGGTTCCGAGGTTCTCACGGAGCTGACCGAGGAATTTAGGGGCAGCCTTGACTTACAGAGCAGTGTGGCTGGAACTCCAGGTATTGAGAAGGTACCTGAGGGTGGACTTAGAAAGTCACCAGGCCGAGGGAGTGGGGAGCAGAACGCGCGTGTTCGCAGCTCACTGCTCCCCCCACCCATTGCGTCCCCCCCAGGACGGTCATGAAGACGGGCCTGGAGAGCGTGAAGGGCGCGCTCAGCGCGTTTCTGGACAGCGCGGCGGAGGACCTGGCCAGGACGCTGGAGAACCTGAAGGAGGGCCAGTTCGCGCACACCCGCAGCCAGCCCCGCGGTGCCACGCAGATCGTCAACTACACGACGGTGGCCCTGCTGCCCGTGCTGTCCTCGCTGTTCGAGCACATCGGCCAGCACCAGTTCGGAGAGGACCTGATACGTACGTGCCTCTGCCACCGAGAGCTGCCTTTCTGAGCAGCGGTCAGAGCTGTGGAAGCCCCGGGGGCTTGCTCCGGCGCCATTCAAACACCCTAGGTCTTGTTCTGCAGAGCGTTCTGGGTGGCGTGTGACTCACAGAATCCGTGCTCACAGGTGACCCCTGAGTCGCACCGAGTCTCCTCCCCACGGCCCGAGTGCCCCTCCCGAGTTACCGTTCGGTGTGGCCTTTTTCCACGGCGACTTCTAATGTTGTCTGACCACAGGACATGCCGCGTGAGATGTTTTCCAGTCTGTGCAGATGGTTTCCACAGGCTGCTGAAACCAAGTCTGTCCAGATGCCTGGTCCACTAGGGTGGCCACACAGCTTCTGTTAATGGGTTTCAGTGTTTTCATTGGGGATTTGGCAGCTGTCTTTTGGCTGAAATGCTGTAGTTATTAATATCCACAGAATGCCCAAAGTTATAACACGTGACCCGCCCCAGTGTCCTGCTCTCGTGCCGATACGAGCACGAGAGAAGTTGTGAGCCCTTGTCAAGCAGCCTTGACTGCAGATCCAGACACAGACTCAGCACGTAGGCCCCAGGGGAGTGCAGCTCTGCACGAAGCCCACCGCGTGCCTCGGTGACGACACACGCTGGCTGCGGAACGTGGGCCTGAGCCAGTGGCTGCCCCGCTTACAGTGCACTGTGGCTGTGGAGACCGTCTGGAGGACAGGGATGGCTCCTCCCTCAATGTGCGGTGCTTCCCCCAGGAAACGGAGGCAGAGTTGGAGTTAGAGAGTCAAGGCTCTTAGGTCTCCTTGTCTATAAACAGATCGTATGGGGTCATAGGTCATCTACCTGGTTTCGTTTGATTCTCTAGCTTTAAAAACTACCGGAGTGACTCACTTATAGGTAAATGTCAGGTGGTTTCAGAAATAACTAATACGCTGCACCCTCTGGCATTCTCATGCTTGTCCTTTGAGACCTGAGACAAACGGTGCCGTGTTCTGTACCTTGGGAACAGAAATCAGACATGTACCTGTCCTCTCAGGTACTCTTGTGTTCCATTTTACCCTTGAAAAAATCTTTTATTCTTATAGCTAGGGAAAAAATTGTGAAGAAATTGTTCCTGATAATGTTCTGAATGATCACAGCATGTCTCTAGACTGCCTTAAGCTCCTGAAGGAAAAGAATTTTGTTTGAGAAAAACGTCTTATATTTCATTTTACATGTTGTCTGTTCTTACATCACTGCTTTCAAACATTAAAATACTGGTGTGCCTTTACGATGGAGTTTTGTTTTCAGCCTGCACTTTCTTAGGACTGAGTCTGAATAACGTGTTTTTTTCTCGTGTGAATCTCCCCCCCAGTGGAAGACGTACAGGTGTCCTGTTACCGGATCCTGAGCAGCTTGTATGCTTTGGGAACCAGCAAGAGTATTTATGTGGAAAGGTAAGGTTTTCAGTTTCAGCTCGTCTTAAAGCTGTTTCAAGTGTTAAAACTATGTCAGGTGTTATAACAAGAATATTCACTTTATAACTTTTTCCTTAGTTATAAATTAAACAGCCAGATTAATGTATTGAATTCTTTGGGAGTAGTTAGACAGTCTTTAAGATAAATTAGAATTGTTGGATAATCTTTAAGATAAATCTGAGTTGCAACAATAAAAGATGAATTGTGGGGGAAAAGGCAAAGTGATGGTAAAGACTCTAAAGTTTCAACTTGACTGCTTATGAGACTTACGAAGGAATCTGCTAGTGTGCTTTCTCATTGTATATCAAATGTACACATAGAAGCCTCACATACCTCCCTCCGTGGGAGCGAGACGTTGACCTAAGTGTTGTCGTTGGTGTAGCACTTGTACGTCTTTGTACTTCATAGGTGCCCCGATATTCCTTACACATGGCACATTTTCAGGAAATTATATTAGTTCCTAGTATTCAGACTTTGTTTTTTAATTTTTATTAACCCATTTAATCACATAGCAAGAATTCTTTTTTAGCAGGTCATTATGTTAAAAAAAGGGGAGAGAAGGAAAGAAAAGTAATGCCCAAGCTTGTGTGATACCCATGGGCTTTCTCTTGTTATTTTGGTCTGTGCTATTTTTAACTTCTTTTTAGCTAAAATATAATTTAGCTTTTTAAATTTTGAATGGCTTTGCTGTTGAAAGCATATGATGATTTCCAATACAGTATGAAAATTATATTTGAGGAATAATACTATTAGTAGCACTTTATTATCCCTCATAGGTTAGACTTGCCAATTTTAATGTAACTTTTTCAGATTTTTATTGGGAGAAATAAAACTTACAACCGTTTCCCTAGGCAGCGCTCGGCGCTGGGCGAGTGTCTGGCGGCCTTCGCTGGGGCCTTTCCTGTGGCGTTTCTGGAGACTCATCTGAACAAACATAACAGCTACTCCATCTACAACACCAAGTCCTCGCGGGAGAGAGCAGGTGATGCGGCGCGGGGTGACCCTGAGGCGCGAGTTCCCTGCGGCGGCCGGGTCTGTCCAGGCCCTGGCCCAAGGCACCTGCTCTTACCTGCTGTTACAGAGAATTTTTCAGAATGTTGTGTACTATTCCTGTGGTGTTTCTGAAAGAAAATTAGTTTAATTTGCTTTAACTTAATGAGCCACAGACAAATTAACAGTCTTAAGGATAAGACGAAATAATCAGCAGATAAGAGAAACTAGGTCAGTCGGGTTTGGACTCGGTTCCCTCTCGTAGGTGAGGGCACGGCGTTCCTATTGGTCACATTTGTAGGTTTGTCCCCTGCAGTTTTCTTTGTTCAGCAGGTATGGCTCCATTATTAGGACAGTTTAATTCCATGTGAGTTTTTCCCCCTAATAGTTTTGTCCAATTTTTATCATTTACGGAAGTTAAAAACATAAACCTGAAGCAGTTAATCACTGACTTTAATCTGCACCTGAACCCAGCGTGTGTCCCTGATTTCACGGCTGTGCCATTGCTGTCCACATGTACTTACCTGTCAGGTCCCTTTCTGCTTGGGAAACCGGCTTATTTTCTGGGGGGATATGCCCATTTCCCTCACTGTCCCAGTCAAGAGGCTGGTAGAACCCTGCCGATGAAGACGAGGACTGGCCTTTGAGAACCTGTTAGAATTATCTGCTAGGATTTGAACTGAGTTGGATAACAAATAGTTAATACAGCAGAAGGAGGTCATCCCTCTAGTCAGCCATTTAAAGAAACATGATGGAAGTTTCAAGACCTGGACACAGCACACGTGGCCTGCGGTCTTTTCTTTTTTTATTTCCTTTAAGGCGAGCACCTTGCTGCTCACAGAGCTGAGATGGTTTCCCTGTGTGACTTGTGCTCTCCGGGGGCTGCTGGCTGCACGGATGCAATAGTGCATTCCATCAAATAAAGGATCTTAAAAATAAGAATATTCATTGTTATTTAATTTGCCTATTTTATAATTATAATTCCATATAACATAGGAAGTTAACAGAAATATATTAAATGTGACTTAGCAGTATTTTTCTACAAAATTTCTACAATATATTCAGAAATAGTAAAACATGGTTGAGTTGAATTATTAATCATCTGTGTGTGCATCCTATTAAGGGACCTCAAACTGGCTCCTCTGCAAGGGGACGGGCATAGGTGATGGAGCAGCAGGGCTCATGGGCAGAGACCTTGATACTCGTGTCTGCTCTGGAACTGAAGGGGGGTGGGGCAGGGAAGGAATGTGGGAAGGAGAGAGAAAGGTTGACGTTGCTGCTAGGAGAGAGGAGCAGGCCCCAGAGGAGTGTGGGCTCGTTGGGTCTTGAAGCCCAAATGACATGGTTCCTTGTGACTGTTATGTCAGGGAGCACAGCCCACCCGGTCCGGGATGTTCATGGTTGTTCATCAGTGAACACCATTCATTCTCCTGTGTGTTCCTCTAGCTCTCAGTTTGCCAGCTAATGTGGAAGATGTTTGTCCAAATATACCATCTTTGGAGAAACTCATGGAGGAGATCGTGGAGCTCGCCGAGTCTGGGATCCGCTACACGCAGATGCCACACGTGATGGAGGTCATCCTGCCCATGCTTTGCAGCTACATGTCCCGGTGGTGGGAGCAGGGGCCTGAGAACAACCCGGACCGGGCCGACCTGTGCTGCACGGCTCTCAACTCCGAGCACATGAACACGCTGCTGGGGAACATTCTGAAAATCATATACAACAACTTGGGGATTGATGAGGGGGCCTGGATGAAGAGGCTGGCAGGTGAGGCTGGAGAGGAACGTACCACTTATTTTGTTTCCAAAAAGATTCGAAATACGAAAGAGCAGACTTTTTCTATCTCTGCCCTTATTAATGTTTTTTTCTGTGCTGAGAAGGATTTTTATTTGTCATGCTGTTCTTTAAAAAATAGATTCCATCAGCCATTAAGTAGCTTTCGGTGTACTTGCTACTTTTAAGTAAGTAAACATTTGCTTTTTGAAATATATTAAATGTGACTTAGCAGTATTTTTCTACAAAATTTCTACAATATATTCAGAAATAGTAAAACATGGTTGAGTTGAATTATTAATCATCTGTGTGTGCATCCTATTAAGGGACCTCAAACTGGCTCCTCTGCAAGGGGACGGGCATAGGTGATGGAGCAGCAGGGCTCATGGGCAGAGACCTTGATACTCGTGTCTGCTCTGGATCTGAAGGGGGGTGGGGCAGGGAAGGAATGTGGGAAGGAGAGAGAAAGGTTGACGTCTCTCCAAGATCAGTGAGTAAACACTGCAGAATAAGCTAATGATTCTGTAGAAAGAGGCAGAGATAAAACTGGACTTGGAGACGCCCACTGTCAGCGACCTGTCCCACCAGGAAGGGGGGATGAGCAGAGATCATGCAGCCGGTACCTTTCAGTTATGTGCGTTTGCTCTGTTCATGTGGAATAATGGGAAGCAATTTAAATGCCCAGTGCTAGGGTGTGGTCAGCCAGGTGGGCACATTGAGTAGCAGAATATAGGCCGTCTTTAAACAGTGGGGCTCGGCAGTGTGTCACGACTTGGAAAATGCCCAAGATATTGTGGAAGATGAACGGCAGAGTATTTTAAAAATTGAATTCAGAAATGCATATAAATATATATTTGTGAAGTTATTATTTATAAAAACTCCAAAGAAATACATGAATGTCTTACTAATTATGTAGAGTGATTATGGTTGATTTTAACTTTTCTTTTATACATTTCCACAATGGATGCATGTTACCTTCAGGGGAAAAAATTCCTTTTAAAAATGTTCAAATCAGGTTTAGAATGTTGCTAAAGACGACAGCTCTTCTTGAACGAACGAGCAGGGCGTGGCCTGTGCTCCAGCCCTTCCCTGCACGGGGCGGGCGCAGTGGGGGAGGGCCGGCACTCAGTCTCATAATTACCGAGCGGTGTGCATCTCTTCTAAGGAGAGGGCCTGGGGGCCTTTTCCGTTTGGGGAGAGTTTTCTGTTTTGTGTGAAAATTGATTTGCAAAGTGAATGAACATCCTTTTTTTCTGTCCTGAATTCGCTGTCGGTCCTTTTTTAAAATCATGGAAGCGCATCACGTTCACCCCTTGCCGGTTTGGACTGGGGGGGGCGTCCTTGTTGGAGCCGGGACTGTAATTACGCTCGGTCTGCAGGAGGGTGACCTGCGCGTAGCTCAACATTTACGTCTCTCTCCACACAGTGTTCTCCCAGCCCATTATAAATAAAGTGAAACCTCAGCTCTTGAAAACGCATTTCCTGCCGCTGATGGAGAAGCTGAAGACGAAGGCAGCGGCGGTGGTTTCAGAGGAGGACCACCTGAAAGCCGAGGCCCGTGGCGACATGTCCGAGGCCGAGCTGCTCATTCTGGACGAGTTCACCACGCTGGCCCGAGACCTCTACGCCTTCTACCCTCTGCTGATTAGATTCGTGGACTACAACAGGTAGTGTTCGAAAGCCATTGATTCCTCTGATCCCCTCGTGGCCTTGCTGTGCTAGCCTGTCCCCAAGGAGTGGCTTCATTCACCAGCTGCTCGGCGACGAGCTGCCCTGGTCCTAGCGTAACCGCATGCTTCTAGACAAGGCTTTTTTTGCTCGCAGAGCATCTTAAAATGGCAATCAGAAAGCGCATTCTGGCGGACAGTTGCAATGTTTAAATTGTTCTAAATGTTACAGCTTAGACGCAGGCCACCTGCGCTCTGTGGGAAGCTGCTACCCTGTTACTTGGTTTCAGATGCAACTTTGGGAGGGTCATTTTTTGAACTTTGAGTCGTTACGGAGGAACCACTGTATTTATTTTGTGATCCAGGGCAAAGTGGCTCAAAGAGCCCAGCCCGGAAGCCGAGGACCTGTTCCGCATGGTGGCCGAGGTGTTCATCTACTGGTCCAAGTCCCACGTGAGTAGCAGGCATGGCAGGGCTTGCTGTCTGCGTTATGTTAAGGACCTTCGGGAAGTTAGACGATTTTCCAACCCCTTAGTGCTTCTTAAACTTGTCTATTGGGCGTCACTTAACTGGTGAGGAGAGAGAACAGGTTCTCCTGGGGAGTTTGAGGCAATATCAACCTTCTTTTGAGTTTTGTAATTTATCCTCAGAAACTCAGGGATTTTTAATTATCCCCCATACACATTTCATGTCTCCCCTGAGTCTTAGGGTGATGTGGACATAGGGATGCCAGCCCTGCTCTTTGCTGGCACTTGCTGTATCACCCCTGAGAGCACTCCGGCCTCAGTTTGAGAAACTTGGACACAGACTCACATTCCACAGGACACACATGTGTCACTGCCTTAAAGTTCTTGTCATCACACATTTTGTTTCTATAGGAATTTTGTTTTGCTCACGTTAGAAGAAAATAAAGCTCCTGCTGGGAGTCCTGTTGGCAGAACTTACAAAGTGCATCTTTAGTGAATTTTCACTGCTTTGTATGTTGCAAGTACAACTATGTTTTTAAATCTGAAAAAGATTTTAATCCCGAGAAGCACTTTATAGTACTCTATAACTCTCAATAACTAGCAGAATGTGGGTAAGTGAGCATTTATTATTGTCCCAAATTATTTCAAAAGCTGAGCAGTTTTGTATCAATTGTAATTTTGTGGTACTTTATAAATGGGAGACTCCGAGAAAGTAAAAATAAACACCTCAAACTCTGTTTCATCCACTGAGGTGATTTCCCAGTTTATTTCATCAAATTGTTATATAAATCAGATTACTTTGAAAATGTACTATTTTCTTAAAAGTAAAAATTTTACACCTAATATTTAGTATATAAGTATTATTTGTTGCCTACCTTGAGGAGTCTATTAAACTTAATGCAAAAATGTATATCAAAACATACATTAAAAATACCATCACACAGAAATGATAAGTGAAATGGTGGCTTTTTAATGGTGAATTTGTATCTTCACATTAACATTTATTTCCTGTGATGTCACAAGAAATGATGCTCCTCTGAATAGAAGTCGGTGACTTCCTGTCCTCTGTAGCCCACGCTAAGGGGATGCGTTAGATCCTCTGGGCACTTCTAAAGGAAATTTGAAAATGCAGAGCCCAGGAAAACGCACGTAAGAAAACCAACAGCTGCATGTTTTTCCTTGAAGAACTGAGAACCTTCAACTTTATCAATCTCTTAAAACACCAAAGAAACCCTAAGTTTGTCTGCAACACAGAGCTTTGCAGCAACAGTATTTGTCATGCTCAGTAGGTTTTTAGATGAATGTCTACTAATACCTTCAAGAGTAAGAACAAATCTGAATATGTGCTTTTGCACAAACCTCTTAATATGTGTCACGTCTACCCTTCCTGGACATTTGAAGACGAGGCTGGCTGAGCCCCGTGCTATCGATAGTGGGGTCAGGATGTGAAAGCTGGACGCAAGTCCGAACTTAGTCTTCTCACTGTTCTTCACCCAAACCTCGGTGACGTGTCACTCGCCAGCATATTTAAGGGCTCACTATGAAGTTTTCAATTTGAGTTTTGCTCACCTGATAAAGGAAGGCATACAGTTAGCTTGCTGACCGCTCCTTAAACTCTGTGGTCATTTCTGCTTTCGGTTTGTGTTGTTTTATCTACTGCTGCTGCTCCGTACCTCCCCCAGCCAGCGCTTCAGTGCCCCTGAAGTAAAGTGAGTGAGGGGATGCTACGGAATTTGAAACAGCAGGTGACTGTCTGCCCGGGCGGAAAGCTCCTCCCAGTTGCCCTCGGGAAGCCGTTTATCAGGAGACAAGACGCTGTCCCGCTGAGTCGGTTAGAGCGCCCATTCTGCCTGCGGTACATGGGTGTCTCCGTGATTTAAACTTTCTGAACTTAGTTTTCTGACCTTTGAAACATAGGTTTTTATATCTAGTTCCCAGGATTGTTGCCCATAGCTGAGTGCTTTCACTGGATATTCAACAATTACTTGTCCCCTCTCTCAATGAGTCTTACGTAACAAATTAACATTTACCTTTGTAGAAACCTGAGTCCTGTGCAACCTCTGAGCACATGGGACTTCTTGCTTATGGGCTTTTAACTGAAATTTCCTTTGCAATTTCTCAGAACTTCAAGAGAGAAGAGCAGAACTTTGTCGTCCAGAATGAAATCAACAACATGTCTTTCCTCATCACCGACACCAAGTCAAAGATGTCAAAGGTATTTCTCTCTTGTTTCACGGCCCGAGAAAATGTCCGAACACAACTTTCACTCGGTGATTTTGTTTTGTTTTGAAGGTTTATAACTGAACTTTCATAGATTCAGTAGTGTTGTTTACTGAACACACATACACACACACACTGACACCCACACTGACACACTGACACACACATACACACTCAGACATACACACTCAGACATACACACAGACACACACACTGACACACACAGACACACTGACACATACAAACACACACACTGACACACTCACACTGACACACACACACACACACACACACACACACCCTTGCAAAATCACCAGGCAGTATAATATACATATACCTAGTCAATATCATGTACAATCGTCCCTCCAAGATCCCCATGGATGCCGGAAACCATGGACAGTACTAGATCTTGTATATATTATGCTTTTCTCATATCCAAACATACCTATGATACAGCTTAACTAACTAATTAGGCACAGTAAGAGATTAACAACAATAATGATAGAATAGAACAGTTATAATAATATACTGTAATAAAAGTTATATGAGTGTGGTCTCCTTCCCTCTTAAAATATCTTTTGATTTCCTGGAATTTCTTATTTTCAGACCACGGTTAACCACTGGTAACTAAAAGCTCCGAAAGTGAAACCACTGAAGGGGGTGGAGGGAATGGGCACTGTGTCTGTCAAGAGTAAATGGCTGGCATTCTGTGTGCCAGTGTGTGGCCTCTGAATCGGTAGCTGTGTTGTTAAGAAGCACATGGGTGGATTTTTGCTCTACACACAGGAGAGGGGAAGTTTTCTCTATCACACCTGTTGGGGAAGGAGGAGCTTCCTTTCAAAACTCATTAAAAGGTGTGCCTCTACCTTGGATCGATCACTGAATAAGAAAGTGAATGTATTACATGGGTAACTCAGAAAGCATGCTGCCCAAGGGCCTAAGACACGCAGGAGTGTGGCATCTGGCCAAGGGAACTGTCCCTCCCAATTCAGCAAGTTATGGGTTGAGGGCTGTGTGGGAGGGGCACCTCTACCCACCCCAGGTGACCCATCATCTGGCTGGTGTCATTGGTGACCCCAGGACAGGAGACTAGCATCCCTCAGTACCTCTAGTCTTATCTGGAGTTTGAGATGCCATGTGTTTGACATGACTACACATGAACCAAAGATAAGCCAGCTTTGCACACCTCAGACACATGTCCTTCATGTGATGTGCTCTAGAAACAACACACAGAAGGGGGGCTTCTGTCCTCTGGGAAGACAGTAAGCCGAGAAGTTGGGGGGCTCCTCCGGGAGTTGCCCTGTGGACAGCACATGGTCACAGGTATGTGCACTGGGAAGTGTGGTGAATTTCTCTGCTTTTTCAGTTCAGGCCAGAGTTAAGAGTGACTTCCAGAGAGGGTGCAAGAGGCCAGTGTTTCCTCTGGAAGGATAAGTGACTCCAGGGGGTCGTCAAACTCGGGACAAAGCTGAGGCCTTGAGAGTGGAGGTCTGCGTGTCCCAAACGAGTCCCATGCCCTCCTTTCTCTGTCCTAGTCCAGTGACTCTCACAGCACAATTCACACTCTAGACTGAGAACTAGACGGAGGAATCCACAGGCATCGCCCAAGTAACGTTTCTCCTACTTCCAGGGAAAAAATGCAAAGTAATGGATAGGAGCCTCTCAGTCTTAATGTTTTTCTCCCCACATTTTCTCAAACTTTTTAGTCCAAGACAAGATAGAAAGTAAATAATATTGATGAAAAATTTGGAAATTAGTGATAATGCTTCACTTCCTTATTTTTATTTTTTTGGGTTTTGCCTGCATATGTGCTTGAAATTTTATATTACATTAGTGCAATATAAACTTTTCCCCAGAAATGACATTTCTAGTTCAAACTGTGGGGTCAAGCACACTAATCTGTTGCGTTGTTGTACTAAGGGAGTCATGGTGTCCTGCGTGCCAGCATTTGGATGGACCTGAGAGTCACTGTTGGCCACACAGCAGTTTAATCAGAGGTCCTCTGCTGACCTCAGATGGGGATGGCATGAAGCAGCCACAGCGGGGTGTAGTTGGGATCAGTAACTCCTGTCCCCAAGGCTGTACTGTCGGTCTCGTGCCAGCAGGAGGGTGGCACTAGGTCTCCTGAAGCTGAAATGCACAGAGAGATGTTCCCATGCAGTGCTGAGAACAGAGCTGCAGAGCCCAAGACCTCAGCCATGTGCCAGAGGTGTCGCAGGGCAGACAGATCCCCCGGACTCCCGAGTTAGATTGATTTAAGAGAGGTCACTGATGCTTCTGTCCTTGAGTATGCCTGCAGTTGACCAGATGTTGCGCAGTCATGTCTGATTCCCACTCAGGGAATAGATAGAACGTGCAGTGTTATGCAGATGTAATAGTTCCAGCAGTTCTCGCATTATTGAACCGCTCCTGTGGGTGAGGCACAGTACTGGGTTCTGTGTATACAAACAGGAAGAAATCAGGCACCAGACACACAAACAAACCCTCCCAGGATGTGCACGAGCAGGTGTGACTGCTGTGGTCTCAGGTCTCCGTCCCAGGAGGCGGACACTGACACCCGCAGTGCTCAGAGGCTCCTGACTTCTCTCTCCAGTCACAGATTCCCGTGACAGCAAGGTTATTGTTTCAGCATAAGGAGGAATTAATTTATCTCTTGTTCTCAAAAGTGAGCGTGTGTAGTTGCCTTTAGTGTCCACTTAAATTCTATCCTTATAAGGTCACTTTATTATTTATAAGTATCAAACCAGGTATAAACTCCTTCTGCTTATACAACCACAGACCCCCCAAAAAACTCTACAAGTTAAAATCAAAGAAAACTCCAACCCCAATGAAATACTTTAATGTATTGAATAATATTGTTTTGCTGAAAACTAAATTACCAGTATTGGACAGAAACACGTTTGCATAATTTGTATCCATTTGTTTAATATTTGGGATGGTGGTTCCTCATTTGGGTAATTATTTTTATCACTGCGATTATGCTTCCTTTTGGCAAAGAGCTCACTTAAAACCACTGATTCATTATTTTATGGGTTAATCAGTTTAATAATGTAAATGATTACTGTGCTTTTTCTACTAAATTTACTGAAATAATCTCTTAGAAGTTGGTACAGATAAAAGTAGCGCCCATGCATAAGGTCTTCGCTTTGGCGAGTGAATATGATTCTCACCGCTATGGTTCAGCTATTAGAGGTCTGATACAGTGTATCGATATGCACTGTACATGTAATGATATGTTGTAATATATAATTATCATAATATAACCCATAGGCTGCCATTACTGTAAGATGATTCCATTGTTTCCCAACTTAAGGGAAAAGCTTTCCGTATCCTCTTGTGATATCTTTTGCCTTCTTTTGGGGAAAGCAGATTATTTGCATATTAAATACTCTTCTGTATTTTTCTCAGTAGCCACAAACTATTACAATATGTCATTTCTATGAAAATATGAAAGTATCTTCAATGTTTGATTTATTGCTACAAAGAAATTTGACATGCACAGAGAAGTGGATGTGGGACAGTTGTTTTAATTGTGACATTAGAACACACCCTCTTAGTGGAAAGACCAATACCTACTATAGTGAAGTTAGACTTTGGCATTTGCGGTGACCCTAAGGCTCAAGCATAATCTTCAACAAAAGCGAGAGACCCCTGAGGAGGCACTGCTGTCCTCAGGTGTAAACAGGTCACCAGAGATAATCTCAGATATTTACATATCGCCGATCAGTCCATCACCTCCATTTCTGCCGGAATGGGGTTAACGCCAGGGCCACAAGTCTGCAGACCGCACCGGAGGGAATGCACTTCGTAATACTTTTACAGATTCCCTGTGTGTGTGCAAAGCAGGCATTTGTGAAAACGAGTACATCATTTATTCTTAAGTTTATTTCTTCTTAAGTATTGAAAATTACAAAACATATAGTATCTAAACTTACCATGGAGTTTCCATACAGCCATAGCTCCCCTAGAATTACAGTGTGCACACCAGTGAGTTGTCATGATTTGGGAATCTGAGCATAGGACTTAAAATTAGAAGAAAAGAGAAAAAGTGTTTCCAGGGGAATTTTCTAACATAGTGAGCAGCTGAGAATGTGGAAGGTGAAACCACAGTCCAGTTGGAAAGGTCAGGTCCTGGGAGAACAGCGGTGGCAGACCCGAAACCTGTGCTGGTCCCGCAGGCGGCCGTTTCTGACCAGGAAAGGAAGAAGATGCGGCGGAAGGGAGACCGCTACTCCGTGCAGACCTCCCTCATCGTGGCCGCACTGAGGCGGCTGCTGCCCATCGGGCTGAACATCTGCGCCCCCGGGGACCAGGAGCTCATCGCCCTGGCCAAGAACCGGCTGAGCATGGTAAGGCCCTCTCACAGCAGGGGGCGAGCACCCGCTGCTCGGCTGCCAGCGCCGAAGCCCTGTCTCGGGGCTCCCTCAGTGCCCGTCTGCGTGAGGGCTTCGGGGAGGGGTCCCTGCACAGGCCTAGGGCTCAGACACAACGACTGCCTATTCCTCCTGGAGGCTGTTTTAATTTCTAAGTTACGTTAGTCACCTCAGGGCACATTCAGGAACCACATGGAAAAGGTACAAAGAAGTCACTGGTAGTGAAAAAAAGTAATTTCATATGGACGCCTATGTAAAATGTTTGGTGAGCGGTACATTCAGATATTTTTTTAAATATATCTTTATTGATTTCAGAGAGAGGAAAGGAGAGGGAGAGAGAGAGAGAGAAACATCAATGATGAGTCATTGATCGGCTACCTCCTGCATGCCCCCAACTGGGGATCGAGCCCGAAACCCAGGCATGTGTCCTGACCAGGAATCGAACCCTGATCACCTGGATCCTAGGTTGATGCTCAACCACTGAGCCACGCCGGCCAGGCACATTTAGATTTTTGACGGGCGGGTTCTCGGTGTTGGGAGCAGACGTGTGAGATGCGGTGCTGACTTTGGAATCAGCAAGCATCAAGATTTAGGTGCTCAGGATTTCTTTATGGCCTGTTTTTCATCTTCATGGCTATGCTTATGAGGATACAATTTTTCGAAAATATACACGGGGTTACTGCTTTGTATTTGTGTAAATCGGAGGCACTTCCCTCCCGTCCTGAATGCTCTGAAGCTCCCGCGGTCTGGAGTTGAGCTGCTTTCTGATCCGTGGTCCTCGGTGGGCTCCTCGCCTCTGCATGGTGGGCATGTCGTAGGTGCTGCATTGCTCTCTGCACATTTCGGGGAGAGACTCATTTCTGTCTGAACCCCAGGGAATGTGCGTCTCCCTACTTGCTGTGAACTGGAGACTGAGTTCCATCGAGTTTTAATGCACTTACTGTGTGTGGAGTTCAAGTGGCTTGTTTCAAATCACAGCAGTAGTGAGAAATTATCTGACATAGCACCCCCCCAATTTGTGGCATGCTTTCAGATCCTGTAAAGGCGCTGCTCATTCACACACTGTTGTGAAAGAGTGTGCGTGATTTCTACTGACTTATAACAGGTGCTATTTCATAAGACTTCTATGTGACATTTATCTTTTGACAGAAAGACACAGAGGATGAAGTCCGAGATATGATCCGCAGTAATATCCATTTGCAAGGCAAGGTAAGCCGAATGCTTTCTAAAGCGCGTTTGGTGTCTATGCATTGGTTCTCTCTTTAGACTAGAACTCCAAATAATGTTACTTTAGCAGATAAGGTACTGAAAATACATTGTTTTAATCAGTCCTTTTGTATTAAGGACCCTCAGTGTAACAAATGTGTGTTTAAAGTAGATCATCAGAGATTGTCAAACCTTGAAAAAAAATATGTCACCAGTTGAAATAAAGGTTGGAAATTTCCTTCATCTGCCTGAGTTTGAGGACGTGGAGGCAGGGGTCTGTCAGAATTTGGGAGTTTACATCTAGGGCTCAGAAATCAGATACTGTGCTGTATTAGTCATTGGTACATAGAAGATAAGAATTGTTGAGAGAGGGACTATTGAACTACCTAGAAAAGCAAGGGTACATTTAGAAGAAGCCACAAATGGAAACCACGCAACACCACTTTTTAACGGTGGAAAACAAAAACTGCTGGAGGTGGTTTTTGTACTTGAGCAAGCGTGGGTTGCCACTTGGGAATTTCTTGAATCTAGTGGATAAATTATTCATTTGTTTACAGAACCTGATATGTGATGTAAGAAGTCCAACAATGTATCATTTTGACTCAGCCTGTGCTCCTAGTCTGGTGTCCCTCCTGCCGGGTGTTTTAATTATGAAAGTATCCAAATGCCAGACAGTAGTGACTACAGCGGAATGTGTCTTTCTGGGTATTAAGATGTTTCTTTCCAAAGATCCAAATCACATCTTTTTCTTTGAACACTGTGGGCTCTGACACGATGAAGGTGAGACAAGCCTTTGCCGTATTCACAGCACATCAGTTACCGAGAGCGAAGCTCAGGTGCACTTGGCTGGGACTGAGTCGTGTACTTAGTAAGAGCCTGCCCAGCAGGGGGGTTAATTCCAGGGGAGCACCATCTCCTTTCAGAGCGCAGAAGATCTGGAACATTTTATAAATGTTCGTAAAGCCTCCAGTGGAACCTCCAGTGAAGAGTTTATGCTGCACATGTGGGGTGTTTGAAGAGGTCGTGTCCCCGGAAAGGTCCTCAGGGTCCCGGGGACTCGAGGCCCCGCTTTGAGGACCGTGGTCCAGGACAAGCACTGCTGAGTAGAGACAGGACATGCCTGTGCCTCTTGAGAAGGGGCTCATGCCGCCTTCAGGAGCGGCCCAGTGGAAGGTGGTGTTTGGGTGAGCAGAGGGGGTTCTCCCACGCGGTCCAGAGGCCGCTGTGCGGATTCTTCCAAGTCTGGGTTGGGGGTCAGGAAGAAAGGCCAGCAGGAAAGGAAACAGGGCTGCAATTAATTCCACCTCCCGTGAGTGAGACCTGCCTGCGGAGAGGTGACGCACCAGGGCCTTTCTGACATTTCATTCTGTGTGGCCCGTGCCGGGGGCTGGGCACACGCAGGAGACACCAGGCTGGCTGGCAGCGAAGCCCAGGTTCCTGGCTCCTTCCTGAGCACCTCCTCTCGGCACTGTAGCAGCAGTGCCTCTGCGGACAGGAGAATAATTGTACGTTAGAGAATGAGAATTGTACTTATTTGTGCCAGATGCAAGTAAGTCTGCACAAGGAAACCTAGGAGAGCCACACGCAGGTGAGAGTGTGTGGAGGAAAAGAGCCTCGCTTTCCCGAAGGACTGAGCCGTTTGCAGCCCGCCAGGCGGAAGCCCTAGCGCTGTGGGTGCCTCCAGAGGTCTGGCGTTTCCAGCGAGGCCCTGCCGGGCGAGGCCTGGTCTGCTCGCTGGGGGAGCAGAGGCTCGCTCTGTCCGTCTAAGTGGCAGAGTTAGTCGGTTATTTCTCGGAAGCAACCTGCTCTGTCCCCTGCAAAGATGCTTATGTTGTCTGTTCTGATTTATAATAATCTTGGTTAAGAACACCCAGAATTCAGTTATATCTTTAACTCGGAATCGGACAGTATTAGGAGGAGGAAGGCATGGACTCCTTCGCCATAAGGATGTGGCTGCACAGCCCTCCACTGATTCATATCCGTTGATATTTCTGTGTCAGTGAGACTGAGCTGAATCCTAGAGCCCTGTGTTTATAGACAGTGTGATCCTAGGTCGTCTGTGAACACCTCTCAGGCTCGGCCAGGAGAGGAGAGAGATGTGAAAGGACGTTGCTTTTCTCCGTTTCCTCACTGCCCTCGGCTCTTCCTTCAGTCCCAGTTGAAACCTCACCTGTGTAGGGAAACCTCCCAACCACCAGTGGGCTAGGTTAAGCCTCAGGGTGCCTTGTATTTCTGCTCAGTCGCCCTCATGGCAACTGCAGACACATGTGCAGGTTTGTCTCCACCCTGGGGGTCGGGGCCCGCCGTGTCTCCAGCTCTGCGTGCGGGAGATGCTCTGTTCGGCGTAACTGCAGAGGCCTGCGCTGCGGCTCCCTCTTCATGTGGTCACTTTGCACGTTCTGAACTTTCTCCCTTGTCCTGCAGCTGGAGGATCCTGCTATTCGGTGGCAAATGGCTCTTTACAAAGACCTACCGAACAGACCTGAGGACAGCGCTGACCCTGAGAAGACCGTGCAGAGGGTCCTGGACATAGCCAATGTGCTCTTCCATCTTGAGCAGGTTCAGTTTTGTGTTGATTCTGTCACATTTGCCCAACACATGCAAAAATATTTCGCCAAGAGATGTATTAAACTGTTAACCATGGGCCAAAAATTATGTGTTCAGCACGTTCATTATAAAAAATACACGACTCAGGAGCCCTTAGTATCTAATATATACAATTTCTAAGCATATCATTTTTGTAGCGATATATAGACAATGTATTTGGGGAGATCAAGGCCTTTGTCTTATTATTTTATTTAAAATAGTTCCAAAATTATACAGATAATTAAGATTATATACTTAATTTTAAGTCATCCTACCAAAACTTTGAGGAGTTACACCTGATTTCAAATGTTATATGCATCTCTCATTTTTTATTATTGCTTATGACATGGAGATACTATCTTTCACTGGTTTGATGTTTGAATGTTTTGTCACTTGCTTAAGCCTTTTATTAGAGAGATTTTTTAGTTAATTTTCTTTAAGATCAACAATATATTACATTTAGAACAAGGCATTGATATTAAAACCACCTGAGAAGAGTGCTTTATATAATTTTTCAGTTCTAGACTAATTTAAACTAGAAAGCTCACTGTCTGAGTTTCCCATTCCTTGTCTTGGCTCAAGAATCCCCAAACCAGTCGTGTCTGAAACATTATCAGTTGGTGGTTTGTATTTTTATAGAAGGGATCCTGTGGCTTAGTGAGATATTTGTGACCTAGAGACAGTCTCTATCCCTCACTAGGTCCCCTCAGCAGAATAACACAGTGTCATCTGTCATTAGCCTGCCCGGCAGCGCCCCCCCTGACGTGGCAGGTAAAATAGTAAAATGCCCTGTCATCCAGGATTCTGTCATTTAAATGCTTTGCAGGACATATTAGCATCATATTAGTAAACCTTTTGCTTGGGTTCCTGTTTTACATTATCTGATGATCTCCTGTCCCCGTCCCAGCCGTTAAATAACACCGTGCCCTACGCTTCATCACTGCGCCCTCTCGCACCACGTGGCTAACACCAGGTTTCTGCATCACGCAGCACCGTGATATGAGCAATGTAATGGACTAGAGTAAAATGTAAGGGAGGAAATTTAACATTTCCCTACTTCCACAATATTTTCATGAAACATTAAATACAAATTATCACCCACCAACAGATGACAAGAGTTGAGGTGATGAAATTTGAAGTGATGTATCAAGTCAGAGTGGTATTTCTGGAATTATGCACCTATTTAAGAAAATGTTAACTAAATGGCTGCTGGAGGACCATTTCTGGCATCGTCATCTGCCATAGGTTTATTCTGTTTTGTTTTTTGTTAATCTTCACCTGAGGACATGTTTTCCATTGTTTGTTTGTTTTTTTTTAAGAGAGTGTGAAAGGGAGGGAGGAAGGAGGGAGAGAGAAACATTGAAGTTAGACACATCGATTGGTTGCCTCACACACACACCCAGGCCGGGTCCAGGAACAAACCTGCAACCCAGATATATGCCCTCGACCAGGAATCAAACCCGAGACCCTGCAGTCCCCACGCCAGTGCTCTAACCACTGAGCACCGCACCCAGGGCTCTAGCATAAGTTTTAATTCTTCCTGGTTTTCATGCATATAGCTGAATTTACTTGAATGCATTTTAGATACGTTAAATGAAGCGTATTGAAATCTGATTGTTGTATTATATTAGGATATTATATTTTCAGAAATATATCGAATCATAATGAATGATGTCATTTGTGAAGCAGTAACATTCGTTTCACTGAGCGGCCATTCATTCCCTGAACATTTCTTGAGGACACATTTCTTATTCTAGGGCCCCACCCTCTTCTAGGGCTCCAACCATTCTAGGCACCACCCCATTCTAGGGTACCAGCCATTCTAGACACTGCCTATTCTAGGCACCAACTGTTCTAGACATCACGTATTCTAGAGCGCAGACCGTTCAGGCACCTCCTCGTGGCTGCACCGCACTCAGAAGGCAGCAGGACTGAACACTCAAGTCACCCAAGCTCTGGTGGAGGGTGTGACACACGCGTGGATAGATGTTGACGAGACAGCTGTGCTGGGACACAAAATGTGCTGAAGAGGAAATAAAGGTCCTAAGCTTATTCTAGTAGGTGATCCCTGCGCAAATGTTAAGTGAGAAGTAGGCATCATCTAGGAAAAGACAGGGAGTCGGATTTTAGTTAAGGCCGAGTGTCCCTCCCATCTTAAGGATAGGCGTAAAAAGAAAGCATCACTGATCACAGAAGGAAAGCGTAGAGACGCCCATGTGGAGCATTCATGCCGTTCCTCCCTCTGTTTTAATGTTAACTGGGAACTGAGTTTGCAAAGAATACTTTCAGTTGCTAAACTCAGTGCAGACACGGCGGGTGCACAGGAAGCACTTGACTTAACTTATCTCAGGCTTCAGCGACCTGAGTGTTCACTGTCTGTTGTGCACCTGGTAGCTTTTCTCCTGAGAGTGAGCTCCCTCCTCGCACTTCCCAATGCTCACACTCCAGCCAAGCTCTTCAGCACATCCAGGCCTTCAGCGGCTGCCTGTGGGTCACAGGTCTTACCCGTCCCTAATTGATTTGTAGGAAAACTCACTATTTAAAGTCTTTTCTGTGTAATAACTTGCTCTGCCAAATGGCAGCTTCATGATGGCAGAGACCTTTCCTGCCACTTTACCACTGTCATGTTCTCATAAAATGCGCCATGTAAAGTCTTAGATCTCAAAATGGAATTTTAAGTGGAAATGTGTGGGGTCTGGCTGGGCAACACTACCCTTGATTCTGTCTCCTGCAGTGTTCACCTCAGCAATGTTTCGTTTCACTCAGGGACAGTTGTCACGAGTGTTCATTGATCCTGCAGAGAGAAGGGCCCCAAACCAAGCACTGCCAAGTTACAGAAGTTGCTTTGTTAAAATTTCTAAACCACTGTAGTCCAGACATCCCTAATGTTTCTTCAAGCATCACCACATTCATATTTTGACCGTTTACTGTAAAGGATAGTAAATTTAGCTTTATTTTTTTCAGCTAACATACCATTTTTATTTCTTCTAGAAATCTTCATGTATGCGTTGGAGATATTACAGTATGGGAAGTACAGTGTTCACTTGCCTAGAGATTACTGATTAACTTAGAATTATGTGTTGGGACTTTTCCCTCTAATACTTATAATTAATCTCTTTTTTTCTCTTGGAGTTCCAAACACCATTAGCTAAATAAATAACTCACTTGCATCATTTACTACAGCTTTGAAATTCCCATTTGTCCCTATCTAACAAAATAGTTATATATTTTAACAGTTTCGTGAAATTAAATCCTTTTATTTACTCCTAGTAACGTGCCCATGAAGCCAGGTCACCTCGTGTCCACCCTGTTATATTAAGGAACAGTAGGCTTTTCATTAGCATTTTCTTTAACTGCCTATGTAAGTTTACTGCTGTAACTCTTATGATAAAAGTAGTTAAAATGCTACATAAATAAAAATGCCTTAATTTTTTGTAGATGCAGAAAATATGTTTTAGAACCACAACCAAATTATGGAAAAGATGGAAACTGATATTTTATGGAGTGGTTTTACATCTCTTTGATTTTAGAGATGACATCACTTCTAAAAGACACACTGTTGGGAAACTATTTTTTATTTTTGCTAAGAAAAATATGTAGCATTTTAAACTATTTTAAATTGAGGACATGGGTTCCATGATTTTAAGGTACTTTTGGAATTTAAATTGCAAAAGGTTTTAGCGGAAAGGCGTAGCTATCAGTGCCGTGCCTGGGGCTTACCGTGTGCTGTGCGCCCGCAGGTGGAGCACCCGCAGAGGTCCAAGAAGGCCGTGTGGCACAAGCTGCTGTCCAAGCAGCGGAAGCGGGCGGTGGTGGCCTGCTTCCGAATGGCCCCGCTCTACAACCTGCCAAGGTCAGAACCCCGTTCGTGTCCGTAACGCTGAAAGCTGCCCTTCCCTAGTTAGTGATGGAGTCCAGCACCCACCTCAGCGTGGGTACGGCTGTGCCAGGGCAGACCAGAGGGCTCATTGCTCTTCTGTGTTGTAATCGACTTCGGTTTCCTCGTTGGCTGTCCTCAGAGGACTGTGGTCGGTGAGGCAGCTGTCAAATGGCTTTTACGTGGAGGCCGTGCCCACAGGTGAGGCGGGAGTCGCACGGCCTTGGCTGGAACCCCTGCGTCTCCGCTTTCGGCTGCGAGCGGCCCAGTGTCCTCTGACTTCCGTGTCGTTTTCTCTCTGGACCATGACAAGATTTGCCCCCAGACTTGTTCAGGCTCTTGAAAGGGCTGAGCGGTGCAGAGCGCTGAGGCGCGCTTGTTGGCAGAGCGTGACCTGGTGCCCTCCGGTCCCTCGGTGCCCGGGGTTCCTCTTCGGCCCCTTGCTGCTAAGAGACTCTCTCCCCTTCTCCAAATGTAGCATGAGGACATCATCACACATCTGGGGAACAGGCCCCGGTGCAGCGACCTCTCTTTTTTGGATCATCTCTGACCCAGCCCCTCCCCGCCCCCATGCCGGTCCAGCTCTTCCTCCCCTTACGCGGTCCCCACCTCTGCCTGGAGCACCCCCCACAGTGCCAGCTGCTTGTCTCTGACTCAGATTTGCGATTCTTTAGAGTCCTGTCCAGTTTTATACCCTCAGCACCCAGAACACTGACACTAAGAGAATAAATGAATGACTGAAACAGACAGGGAGTAAGCACAAGCAGAACAGCGTCACCTTCCCTGTCACCGAGGCCCTGGCTTCTTTGCCATCCCGTCGCAGCATAAAACCATGCGCTGCTCCTGCGGGGCACCGTGCCCTCAGGTGGATCGTCCCGCTCAGACTGCTCCGTGGGGCCAAGCTCAGGCCTCATCGTGGTTTTCTCTGACCTGTTGCCTCACCCTGCCCGTTGCGCCACCTCCCAGCGCCCTGGCCTGTGCTTCCTGCCCGCTGGGGGGCCCGGATTCTGAGCCGCTTCTTCCTGTTGGAGCCTGCTGTCCACTCTCTCACATGCCGTTTTCAAAATGATACCAGTTCCAGGGCTTCTCAAACCGGTGCTTCTAGCAAATACACTGAGGTACACGTGAGAAGGAGCCGAGCCTCCCCTGCGGAATCGGCGCAGCGAGGGCCAGCGCGGGTGCTGCTTGAGGCCACACTGTGCCTCTGGTGTCCTGTGGGCTTGGGCTCCCTGGTCACGCCTCTCAAGTACAGGAGTTCATGGTGGTTTCCAGTGGTCATGTCCTCTGCCCGCTTCACGGCCCTTCCGTAACCCCAGCCACACGTCCCAGCCTCCGTAGCCCCTCTTGGTGGCTGAGCTCAGCTTCCCATCCTGCCAGGGCGCTGGCTGATCTTAGCACCTCTGATGCTCCCCAAGGGCTCCCTTACGTGATCCATTCGCACGTCTCGTTCTCATTCTGGGACATTACCTACACCTCCTGCCTTCACGGTGGGCTCGCTGTCATCTTTCATTTCCTGGGCACCTGTCTCTCGTCAGTCTCCAGGGTGGAACCTTTGGGATGTGCTCACCTGTGCTTACCTGATACACTGGGTTCTGTCACCTGCGAGCTGGTGCCTGATGTTGGCTTGGACGCTGAGTAATTCCTCTGTTGAGAGTTACTCTGTGTCTATCCAGAGCCACTGTATGTCATAGTAGCTCCCACTGAATGAGCATCTACCCAGTGCTTTATATTTTTTATCCCATTGAAGTCCCACAAAACGGAAGTGTGTGAGGTTGTCCTAGTTATGAATCAGAAAAAGGAAAGTTGGGAAGTTGGATAACTTGACCAGTGTCATGAACTTGGGAGCAGCTGAGCCAGGGTTAGCACCAGGTCAGCGTGATCCCAGAGCCGTGCGCTGTCCAGGCAGACGGCCCCAGCCACCACGGGACGTTTGTGTTTATTTAGCGCACAGATCCTGTGATAAAGCGCCACCTAGTTAGTGCCTTTTTAATTTATTAAAAACCCAGCAGTGCACTTGAAATTGTGCTTCTCTTTCAGGCATCGGGCCGTCAATCTCTTTCTTCAGGGATATGAGAAGTCCTGGATTGAAACAGAAGAGCACTACTTTGAGGATAAACTGATAGAAGACTTAGCAGTATGTCTCCAGTGGGCGGTGAAGTGAGGGGCCGGGCCTAACGGTGTGAGCGGCTGCCAGGCAGCACTGGGGGAGGCCTCGGCCCCCGTGTTGGCCGCAGGAAACTTCCTTCTCAGTGGTTAACGCGCTCAGTGCTTGGGGAGAGTTCAGAATTCAAGATCAATTATGCAGGTTTCTTACTAACTAAACTTTGAGAAGGAGGATTTTGTTATTCTTTTATCCTCAAAGCTCCTCAGGACCAGAATGAAACTATGAAAGCTGAACCCCAAAGTTACTCACCAAAAATAAGTGGAAGGTTAGCAAAAGCGAATGAGAAGTAGCTGGGTTTTGCTTGTTTGTTTTCAATCCTCACCGAGGATATTTTTTCATTGCTTTTCAGAGAGAGTGGAAGGGGGGAGAGGGAGAGAAACATCCATGTGAGAGACACAGTGATTGGTTGCCTCCCACACCTGCCCCGACCTGGCCGAGCCTGAAACTCAGGTACATGCCCTTGGCCAAAATCGAACCCGAGACGCTTCAGTCCCTGGGCCGATGCTCCAACCACTGAACCAAACTGGCCAGGGCTGAAGTAGCTGGTTTTGAAAACATGCAGAGCTGAGAATGGTAGACAGGGCACAGGCAGGGCCTGAGTGAGGTCCGTGCTGTCGAAGGCGAGGGGTCCTCAGCCCTGGGAGGGGCAGGGCTCAGGAGCACCGTTCACCTCCATAGGCCGGGGCCTGTTTAAGAACCTAACCAAAGCCATCTTCTCAGGACGAGTGGCGAACGTGCTCACCCACAGAATTTTGCAGACTAGTTAGAGGTTAAAGATTCTCAGGTTAAAACACTCTTGTCTAAAAGTTATTTCTTTGTCATAAATTATCAGGGATATAATGGATAAACTAATTCAATTCATGAAAGCTAATCCCAATTGGCCCCAGGTATTTTAATGAATTCAAATTGTCTCTATAATTAAAACAGCCATAGAATATTGGATCTATTGTAAAAATCTACCTGGTTTCTGCAACGTTAAACCTTAAAGCCAGGAAAGAACATTGTGTATTTACAGAGAAAACACCGGTGTGAGTGGGTAAGTCAATGAAAATATAAAATTCATTGTCATTCAGCAAAAAGTCAGGATTAATTAATTTTACAGTCAGTAAAAATGCTTAATAATTTTCCTCATGGTGAAAGTTCTATTAGTACAAACATTTTTTAAGTCTTAAAAGTAAATGAAAATGGTAAAAAATAACTGACACACACACGCACACACTCACATGTACTCACACACACACATATACAAACACATTTAAGCATACATGCTCTCAGACACATGCACACCCTCACGTAAGACTCACACATTCAAGCACACACACAGTCCCATGCACATGCAAACTCACACACACACGCACACATGCACACTCATGCACACACACATGCACACAGTCACGCACACCCTCACATGCTCACACACCACGTGCACACTCGCACACACATTCATACGAACGCATGCTTAGGCACACATGCTCACACACGTGCGCGTGCACTCACACTCGCCCATGCACTCACACTCATGCACACACTCGGCCACAGCAGAAGAGAGGGCTTTACTTGGAGTTGTTCTTAGCCCGCATGTTGCTCCTGGATTTGATCGACCATTTTATTGAAATGTGAACTTAAAAATTTGACTCTTGTAGAAACCGGGGGCGGACCCTCCAGAGGAAGACGAGGGCACGAGGAGAGTTGATCCTCTGCATCAGCTCATCCTTCTGTTCAGCCGAACGGCCCTAACGGAGAAATGGTATGGCTGGGGGGCTCGCCCGAGCCAGGAGGGTGAGCGCAGGGCCGCTGCGCAGTGTGTGTGCGCCTTGGTGTCTGCCACCTGGCTGGTTGGAGAGGGACCGTGGCGGCTGGGCCAGGCTGGCACGCGCCCGCGGCCCGTGACTTTCAGTGTCGCGCTGTAATGTCTGCTCTGGTTTCTCTTAGCAACTTTGTAATGAGCTGATGTAGTTGATTCTGAATCTTCTTTCAAAATGATTTTTCTCTTTATCACAAATAGCCTTTGTAAATAAAAGAGCTCACAGCAAATTTCAGAACCAGAAACAATGGAGACCAGTAGTGACAAGCTGTCCTGGTGGATAGTGGCGCCGTTGCGCAGGTCTTAGGAAACCTGAGGGGTGGGGAAGCCGCCATCTCAACTGGAAGTTTCTTCCAGGCCTGTTTAAGGGCACCCTCCACTGGTCTTGGCTCCTACAGTCTTGATCATATGAATTGACCGCAGCCGCAGAGGGCAAGCCTCTGTGGAGTTAATAAGAAGCGCTCTAGGGCTGATAAGATGTGCTCAGCTCCGGCGCCCGCAGGCCGCTGTGGATACGGCTCTTGCTGGGACGGCTCAGAGGCCTTAAACCTGGTGCCCACCTTCCTGCCTCCTGGAGGAGCCTCCTCTGCCAGGTCCCTCACGGTGTCTGCAGGACCCCGGGGACAGTTAGTTATCAGTCCCTCAGTCCTCGCAGTGTCCTGCGAGGGCCAGAATGATGCGTCCCTCTCCCTCTTGCCGCTGCGGCCGTCCTTCTCTGGGACTTCTCTCTCCTGCTGTCTCCCCACTGACAGTCCTCCCGTCCCTAAGCATAGAGCAGCTCCGCCTGGCACTGTCGGGTAATGAGGCATTTCTCCTAAGTGAATTTTTCTGATGGCTGAAGTTAGAACTGCTAACATAACTCTGCACGTGAGTCATTTTTTTATGGAAGCCATTCTTCATCGATTAATGGTTTCTACACTTCTTGAAAAAAAGATATAAACATGTTTAAACTTTTCTTAATTTTTAAGAATCACCATGATGATTTTGTAGCATCATAATTTGGGGAGTCTTTCCATCAAATGACAAATATCACTTCTGCTGTGAAAAGCCCCCACCTCACTTAAATTTACCTGTTCAGCGTTTATAGTTTCAAGAGAGTGAAAGTTACTGCTTTTGTATGTAAGTCCATAGACCCTTTATTTTGTGAGAAGGGGTCTCTCCTGGGAGGTGAGGTGGGACTGCAGTTTGGGAGGCCTGAGCTCTTTGCTTTCTGATGCTACAATATTTTTGAATGATTACTTTGCCTAAGTTTTGTGTTTATTTTATTTTAAAAAGTAATACTTGTTGAAAAATACAGGTTATTTTATAAGTGATGGTAATTCTGCATATGACTAGCCTTCTACTTGAAAACAATGTTTTTTCTTGTTTTCCATAGCAACCTGGAGGAAGACTATTTATACATGGCTTACGCAGATATTATGGCAAAGGTAAATACATGTCAGTCTTGGTTTGAAAGTGTGATTTTAAAAAGGGAAATCATTTCATCTGAAAAAGGATAAGACGGTATGTATACAATGCTGTTAAACCTTAGACTCTTGAGGTGCATTCACCCCAACTTTCCACTTGTTCCGCGAAGCTCAGTTCTAACTTCCTTGACAGGTAATCATTGATTTAAATGAATGAAATGTAATCACATTTAAATCAGTTTCCTCCTTTAACATTGGTTCATGGGGAGCTCACTAACTTTCCACATGCATTCAGTCAACAAGTAGTCACTGGGCGTCAAGGTGTTGGAGACGACATGGTGAGTGAGGAGAGACTACACCCCACCGTCTTGGGGTTTTCTGTCTGATGGGAAAGACGGTTTAAACAAATGACGGCAAAACGTGCAGGGCGCTCAGTGCTGGAGAAACCGGTTACCTAGCACATAATGCATTGCGCCCAGTCTAGGGTTTGAGGGGTCCTTGCCTGGGGAAGGGTGATGTGTCCCGAGTGTTTATGTCCTGCACGCCGCACAGCGGGAGGCGACTGAGGGGCTGGCCCTGGCCGAGGAGGCAGGGCTCCTCAGAGGCTTCTGCCCAAGCAGCTGGGGAGATGGCAGTGCCATGGGCACGGTGGTCACCCTGCAGAGGGCCAGCGTGAGAAGAGAGGCGGCCTCGGACCCAGCCTCTAAGGACATGGATGCTTACAGGATGGAGAGAGAAGGAGCTTAAGGAGTGGATAGAACAGGAGAGAACGTTAAGCATGAGGGTACACAGGAGCTAATGGAGAAGACGTGGCCAGCGGGGTCTCATTCTGAGGTTTGAGCAGGAGAGAACCGGTCACCTGCTCGCCGTGTGCCCTCGGTGAGCGCAGCTGGCAGAACTGGGGTCTCATTCTGAGATTTGAGCAGGAGAGAACCGGTCACCTGCTCGCCGTGTGCCCTCGGTGAGCGCAGCTGGCAGAACTGGGGTCTCATTCTGAGATTTGAGCAGGAGAGAACCGGTCACCTGCTCGCCGTGTGCCCTCGGTGAGCGCAGCTGGCAGAACTGGGGTCTCATTCTGAGATTTGAGCAGGAGAGAACCGGTCACCTGCTCGCCGTGTGCCCTCGGTGAGCGCAGCTGGCAGAACTGGGGTCTCATTCTGAGATTTGAGCAGGAGAGAACCGGTCACCTGCTCGCCGTGTGCCCTCGGTGAGCGCAGCTGGCAGAACTGGGGTCTCATTCTGAGATTTGAGCAGGAGAGAACCGGTCACCTGCTCACCGTGTGCCCTCGGTGAGCGCAGCTGGCAGAACTGTGGAGAGGGCTTTGATGCACATGCTCCGGGGAAGAGAGCAGAAGTTCACCTGGGAGGAGGTGCGGCGTGTTTGTTTCCTTTTGTGCTTGCCTGTCAATCTAATGTCGTTTATGGATTTCTGTTGAGTGTTATCAGGCATGCCTGTATTTCGACAATGGTGTGCTTTCTAATTAAGCACAGGGTGTCATTTCTCTGATTAGTGTCAGACCATTGCCCACAACCAACCTGTTTTCAAAGTTCAGCTCCATCATGTGGGTCAGATCCCTCTGTCCATGTGACCAGTTCCTTCAGCACTGAGCTCCGACTGGGAAGTGCTCCCGCGTGTCTAAGGGGCGGTGCTGGGACTGACCGCAGGCCTCGCAGGACGTGTCTGGGAGGCTGGCTTCATTTTCACAATCAGCACCCTGGCGCCTGAGCTTGCCAGTGGCCTGCCCAGGGCCTCCAAGTTCACCAGCAGTCATGTTGCATTCGCTGTGATTGTTTGTGCCTTGGGTCTTGAGACTTGAACTCAGTTCGAGACGTTGCCCTCATGTCTTCCTTCACCATTGTGGGACCTTTGGAAGGCGTCATTTACTCTGATTAGGTTTCATTTACTCTGATTAGTTTTAAGTGTAGGAGCACAGAGTTGGGTTACTCGCAGCTCTGGACTCATGACACACTCTCATCTTGGTCCATAGTGGCCTCATTTTATTTAGTCAGTCATTTCAGAAGCTTCCTTCCTGCCCTGGGTCTGGGCCACATAATGCTCCTAATTCCAAACCAGAGTGATAGTAGGTGGGGAGTTATTAAAAGCTTATTATTTTCCAGACACTTGCTCTTAAGTGGCAAACAATTGACACATATTAATTCATGTGATCCGCTCAAGACTTGGGTATCTTTTCTTATTCCCACCTGAAGTGTGAGGACACCAGACCAGAGAGGTCAAGGAACTTGCCCTGGCCTAAACAGCAAGTGACTGGGCGCAGCGAGGCTGGAGCCAGGCGCTCTGCGTCCTGAAGCCTGTTGCCAACCTCACCGCTTGGCCTCCAAAAATAACTTTAGCTGTGGGGGTAGACAGACGTGGGCATGGATAGCACAACGCCTATCTCATTTCTGGAGAAACAACTCAAAATAATACAGTAGTCATTCCTTTTTACATATAAAGAAGTATTAGCAGTTACATTTTCACTTTTTTCCCTTGGACAAAATACAATAAACAATGAACTTAAAAAGTGATGAGAAGTTTTATCTTAATTAACGGACACTGCTCTGTATTAATTTGAATTCATAGCTGTTGCAAGTTCCTGTGCAGTGCCTGGATCAGGGCATTGCAGTGGCGGCACCTCCCAGGGGACGTGACGCCCGCTGCCTAAGCTTGCGTTCGGCCTGAGTCATGAGTGAGCAGTGTGTGCAGCGTGACGCTGGCCTCGCCATGCCTCATGGGACGTGCGGTGTGGGTAATGAACACTCTAACTCTGTAAGAGCACAGGAAGGCCCCCTTTTAGGTCATGAGTCATTGACGATGGCACCTGGGGTTACTGTGCGTGAGGTATCCGTGTATTTAAACAACGCGGATGACGGCTCGGGCAAACGCTGCGGTGCGCTGTGCTAACTTCCTTCCTGGCTTTTGTCCCCTTCCACGGTGCCGTGCGCCAGAGTTGCCATGATGAGGAAGACGACGGTGAAGAGGAAGTGAAGAGTTTTGAAGTAAGAGGGGTCTTTCTGGATTGGCCTTGCTCCACGGGGAAGCCCTGTCTCATGGCTTATAACCGACACTTACGTTTCTCGCTTCATGGCTTACCCTGGCTTACTGTGCGGAGGAACTGCATGTGGGAGCCGGGTGGGCAGTGCGAGTCCTGCCGTTGCTGCAGTTAACTCCCGGGACCATACGATAGTTAAGCCATCAGACGCCCATATGTGCAGGATGAGTGCTCCTGAGACCCACAGAGGTGGCTTCAAATTGTCTCATCTCGGTGAATGTCGTGACCTAAAATTTCCAACAGGCTCATGAGGAAAATACTCACTGAAGAGCAACATGATATTGAGTTTTAGTTGAAGCCTTTTTTTGATTTTCCTTTGGAATTGAAGTCAGAGGTTTGCCCCCTGTGACTCCTTCCCTGTTCGGTCTCTCATTCCTGCACATATGGGGCGGTGCGCACACGGTGCAGTCGGCTTGCATGAGGCAGGAGTGCCGTCTCCTAGGACCACCTTCTAGCTTATGCTTATTTTCTCAAACCTTTCAGGTTTTAAATATCCGCATAATTTGAGATACTGCTCAACGTTAACTAGCCAGAAGGAAAGGAAATGTTACTCCCGCCTTTCCTTAGACCATACTTTTGCTTTTTATGGGAAAAACTAGGTGTTTGTTAGCTACCACTCGCCTTATTTATTGTTTTCTTTATTTGCTTGTTTTTAGAATTTTCAAAAAGAAATTAAGTGGAAGGGCATAGATTAGATTCTTTCTAATTTTGCTGTTGACTTACATGTCTGGACTCTGAGCTAGAAGTCCGGAAGTACAGTCGGACCCCGCAGTGAGTCCTTAGTCACAGTGCACCCACGAGAGGGTGTCGGGGGGGCGAACAGAGTGCCTCTCGGGAGCAGTGACTGAGCATCTCCGCTGCATCGAAGTCCCTGTGTAAGAAACACAAAGCAAGCAATTGAGAATCACCTGTGACTGTCGCTGGCTGTGGAAGATGCCCTGAGGCTCATTTCCGTTATGGCACTATGATCTTTTCTAATGTATGTGTATTCTGTTCTCAAGTCCATCTTTCCTGATAAGAAACTGAGGTAAATTAGAATGGGTTGTAAGCAGCAAGTAGCATTTTCTGAAAGTGTAACCTCTTGTGCTCTACCAGCTGTCTTTAGAGCGATTGTTTATTGCCGTTTTGCTTCTGTCCTTACCCTTCCTAAGGTCACAGGATCCCAGCGCAGCAAGGTAAACTGTGTATGTGTGTGTATTTGTCTGGGTCTGAGTTTTGGTTTCTGTGACATTTACCTTTTTGTTAGACCCAACATTTCAGATTCTTTTGTAACATAAGGCCTTCCAGTGCTTCTAGAAGTGTCTAGCTCCAGTGCAGTTGGTCTCTTCGGTATCCCTTCCTTGACAGGCTTATTCTTCTTGCAGTTTCAGTAGCTCATCACTTCAAATTTACGTTACATGGTAGCTGTGAGCTGCACCCCGGGCTGGGATAGAGGAGCCCAGCCCTGAACTGTTGGCAGGGTCTTCACAGGGCCTGTGCCTCTTGATACTGTTTTATAGCAGCCTCGTCACATGAAAACAGATGCGATAAATGGCATTCCTGGGGACAATGGAAATAAGTCTGCTTTTCCAGTGTGCTGGTGCCGGAGATGATAGTCCACAATTTCAACGTTGATTTCAGCATTTCAGTCTAGGGAGGATTATTTCTATCTCTTAATATCTTGAAGAGCTAAGTGCTTGTAACATTTGCTAAGAGAAAACATTTTGATCTAGAATTACAAAAATAATTTGAGATTTAAAAATGAGGCATCATAAGGAAAATTTCTGTGAGGAATAAAGTAAAGCTCAAGAAATGTGGAAAACAGGGTGGGGACCAAAATGCCAAGGGTTTGCCGGCCCGTTTCTTCTGCAATCACATGTACATTTTACTCGTATGATCCTGTTGAACTTGCCCAGTTGAACTTGATAGTTTACTCCCCTGCTTCATCTAGAATACTGTTTCTACAGCTACCTATCTAACAATTCACTGAATATGTAGTTCATTATAATATATAAGCTTTTTTAGATTTGAGTCTACTGCAACATTAAAACTAAAAAATACAGGTGAGCCTGGTTGATGTGGCTCAGTAGTTGAGCGTCAACCCATGAACAGAGGTCCCTGGTTCGATTCCCGGTCAGGACGAATGCCAGGGTTGTGGGCTCGATCCCCAGCAGGGGCGTGCAGGAGGCACCTGATCGAGGCCTCTCATCGATGTTTTTACCTCTCTCCCTCTCCCTTCCTGTCTCTCTAAAATCAATTAAAAAAAATTTTTTTAAAAGACAGTTAAATCTTATAAAGAGGTTAAAATTGACTGGGAAGAAACATTTGGCAGTTACTGGAATGTTCATCACTGTGGTTGGATGCTTTATTTAGTTTGGAATGTTTTATAAACCAAAGCAAATAATAATAAATAATAAACGATGATGTTTAAAGTCAAATAACTTCATATCTCTGAGCATGTTGGGTTTTGCCCACCGAGATCATGAGGAGCTTTGGTACTAGAGTGGACCACGTTTTCAACTATGATTTTGCAAAATACAGAGAACCGTTCTCTAGATGGTTATTCTTGTCCATTCTCTAGGACCTGAGGCAGTGAGATGAAGCAATAATGCGGTGAAAGTGTTTCTGTGGAACATTAGGGAGCCATAAGGCAGATTTATTACTTACCGAAGGGCCTAAATTAATGACAGTGGGGCCTTGCGGAAGCCGGAGGGATGGAGCATTAACCTGCCTTCGAGAACATTTTTCTCGAACATTTTTCTCAAACATAGGGCAAGTTGCACATCCTTTGGCAGATGCCCGATTTCTCATTTGCGCTGAGTTTTCTGATGAATCCCTGAGGTCCTGTTACTCTGCACTGTTGATTACAGAGAGTTCTTGTGTCTTAAACACTAAATTGTCTGTGGCAGAGTTTACGTTCGGTGATAAAAACAGGAGACTAACTCCATGGTCTCCCCGGGCCTCGGGAACAGTGAGACATCGTTCCTGTTGAGGCACCCGGCTCGCAGCCACCCTGGGCACCGTTAAGTAGGGAAGAGCCGATTTAGGTTCAAACGGTCTCACAGACTGACGTTCCGTAGCTCCACCCAGGGATAACAGCCCTTTTATCTGCCTCTCCAATGATCTAAATTTGAATAGAATCCTTTATTTTTAATACATTCTGCAAGAATAAAGTGGCTGTAAGATGTACCCTAATAGCTACACAAATTGATCTTTGAATGGGTTTCTTTCTTTCCTAGGGACACAGCAGTCTGAATTAGAAGGCTTCCTGAATCTAACAAAAAAATTAACTCTTAAATATAAAACACTGAAGACATAGCTATGTATATAAAATACTGAACAAATTATTTCTCCTCTCAAGAGAATGCACAATTTTTAATTGCTGCTGTGCAAGCTCTGTGGGGAAGGGGGAGGAATTGTGATGGCCAGTGTTCTCTAGTACTCATGCCTGTCACTGCCACCGGCCAGCTGCATTTTTATATAACGAAATTGTTAATTGCAAGTAAAGCCCTCATGTTGTAGCCCAGGTTCCCTAGGAAGCAGAGTGAAGAGATTATGTGCTAACACTTCACTGGGCTTGGGGTCTTGCAGTCCCAGGGAGTGTGAGTGAGCGGAGGTGCCCCACACCGGGAAGGACAGAGAGACACAGGCAGTGCACCTGGGCTGGCCACGGCCGCTCGTCGGTTGCGGGCTGCCCCCGGCAGACCCTGTGCGCCCGGGAGGGCGGGCGAGCGCTGCATCTGCGGCCCGCCCCACCCCCTACCTCCAAGGAGTCACAGGGAGTCAGTCTCTTCCTGCGTCCTGCTGGTATTAACCAGCCTTCCCGTGCAACCCCTGGGAGGCCAGAGCCCGCTTGGGTCCGGCCTGCGGAGGGGGGGGAATTGTAGTTTCTCCAAGTGCATCAGTGGGGGCTTCTTAGTGAGTAGTGGTGTGGCACCGGCCAACTCTCATAGCCACAGTGATGCTCTGAGTCATTTCTAGGGCCCCTCTTGCTCAGAAGCAAGGCAGGTTGCCAAGGCTTGGAGAGAAGGGGGCTGGTCCTGGGATGAGGAAAGTTCCCAGCAAGCACAGCCCTGTGTCCCAGATGGCAGTGTGTGCCTGTGTGTGGACCCAGAGGGCAAACTCTATAGCGGGCATACATTTGAACATGCAGCTGTGCACACTTGACGTGCACAGTAATCTGACTTTAATGTGCTTTTGTTTTTAAAATAACCCCAGTGGAAGCTTATGCTTGACCGTAGCATATACAGTAAGTGGGATGCAGGGAGACGTGAAGAGGGCAGGAGATGGGCCACCTGTTCTTGAATCCCAGCTCCAGCACCTGTGATCTTAAGCCTCAGTTGTCCTGTCTGTAAAATGGGGCTAATTATAGTACCTACTTTGGAGGATTGTGATGATGATTAACTTAGTTAATGCAGGTGAGGCGCCAGGGCATTGCCGAGCTCTTGGTGTATTTGCCATTGTTACCTTCGGTCAGCTGCACTTCCCTACGGAGGGCAAGCTCCGGAGGTCACGGAGCACCAGCAGGGTGGCGAGCACAGCACTGCCCGGGCGGGAGCCGCTCCCCCGGTGCTGGCTTGGGACCTGCAGCAGGTCACATTTAATTGCTCCGCACCTCACCTTCTACTGTGAGCTGAGAGCCTTGAACAGGATAGCCTCAGGGTCATGATCACCTTTAAAATGATCTGATTTGCTGTGAAAGAAGCAGCTCTTTTCATTTTCAGGGAAATTTCGTAATTCTTCTAAATGCTTAAATACTGCTAGAAGCATATGCATTTTCTTTAGTTTTCTTCTGTTCTTTGGCGGAGTGTTGAGGAAGAAAATAAACCCCTTGGTTCTGTAGAATAGGAATGTCACAGTAAATGTTTTATAGAAAATAAGGTCTAGCTTCTGTACATATATATGTATCTCTGCCTTTTCCTAATTTGGGACTTAAAATATTACACAATTATACACAATGCAGTCAGA